CTATCAAAGTTACTTATCTCTCCCCCCATGTTAAGAAAAATTAAAAATTGGGACCAGCAGTTAGTGTAATGGCTATGTCGCTGGACTCCCATGTAGCCGACTGTGGTTCATGTCCTGGACCTGGTGGCTTAAAACTCACGCTGGGCACGTGTGGGTGCGTGCCCAAGATCCTGAGAGGAGAACAGAGGAGAAGGGATTGCGGCATGGCCATCCCTCCTGGGGGGTGATTTCTCGCTTTCTGTCTCTCTGTCTCTCTCTGTCTGGTGAGCACATGTGCCCTACAGCAAAAACCTCTAAAAAAAAGAAGAAGAAGAAAAAGAAAAAAGAAAAACTTTTACAGCTATCTTTAAAAAAGGAGTCAGGGGATTTGTATTCAATATATATAAAAAATCCTCAGGGCTGGCCCTGTAGCCTCGTGGTTAAGGGAGCTGAATCCAACATGACTGACTGCATTTCAAATCTCAGCCCTGGTCTGTAGACACCAGAGATAGTGTGGGAAGAGGGTGGGAAAGGACAGAGGGTCAGAAATAGGAGTAAAAAATATATATAACTAGAAATGGAAAATTATTGATGATAACATGTATGGTTAAGCCACTCTGCAGTATATTCTGGATGGGAAATCACACTTTGTATGCTATGACGATGTTTAGGGAATGAATGTAAATTAATTTATAAAAGGTTTCAGAAAAAAATTAAAAATAAATAAATAAATAAATAAACAAATCTCAGCCCTGGTTGCTTGAAAACGCACAAGGTATGTGTGCATGCCTGCCCCACATCTCAAAAGGATGGGGAGATGGAGGAGAAGGGATTATGGTGAGACTGTTATGGGAGTGCTTTCTCCCCCTCTCATCAGATATATGATGAGAGGAATATTTTCTTCTATTCTGTAGGTTGTATTTTTATTTGTTGATTGTTTCCCTTGCTGTCATGTTAGTTTGATGTAATTTTGCTTATCTTTGCTTTTATTGCCTGTACTTTCAGTGTTATGTACAAAAGAAAGTTGTCAAGACCAATGTCTGGGAATCTTTTTTATGGTTTTTATCTCTCTGTTGAACTTTTCATTTTGTTCATGTGGTTTTTTTTCCCCCAAAATATTGGTTAGTTATCTATCAGTGTTTTCTTGTTGCTAATTATGCTTCTTTAAGATGGTTATTCTCAAATATTTAGGTCTTTAATTCATTAAGGTGAGCCAGTGTAGCTTTATTTGATTTCTTTGGTGATGTCATGTTTCTGCATTTTTTTCATGTTCTTTGAAGCCTTACATTGCTGTATTTATATTTGAGAAGCAATTGCCTTCTCCAGTCTCTACTGCCTAGCTTCAAGGGAGAAGAAGCCCAAATAAAGATTTTGTGGGGAGTGGGTCTCTCACACCACTTATGTGGATACGCCTGTTTCACAATTCTTGCCTCTCTTTGTGCCTTCTCTTGACCCAGCAAAGCTAAGTTAGGTGCTGAATACTTTCCATTTATTTTCCCCTGGTATTGCCCTTAAGTGTTCAGAGTCGTATGCCTTTTCACAATCCAACATAGTCAAGTCATATCTGTGCGTTGTCTGCAGGAAATCATGTGCACTATACAGAGACCTACATGCACTCTCTGCAGGGAAGCTTGGAGTGCCAGCTAAGGGGAGGTATACTTGGAGTGTTAGGGGCACTTGTCAGGTAGCTGAGGGCTATGTGGGTAAGTCATCTTACAGAGTTCATAGACAGAGCTCTGGGTGGAGTCCATGAGCTAGTTGGATCTGTAACTGTTTGTTAAGATCCACAGGGTGGTTGCTGTGAGCTCCCACCCCTTTTACCTGCTCTTAGCTATCCCCAGACTCTTCCACAATGCTAATTTATTCAGTGTTCTGGGTAGGGTGAGACCAAAGTTGGCCTTTTGGGCAGTGTCCCGGGCTGGGGAAACTGAGCATTTGCTTCACTCTCACTTACCCCTGTGGGTGAAATCACAGGCCGAAGGAGTCTCTCTTATTAATTTGTACCATCTTGAAGGAGAATCATATAGGTAAAGTGAAACTATTCTCCTTACCATCTTTAGTGCATCTACTTTTGGATTGTTTTGGTTTACTAGAGTGCTGGAATCGTTCAGTTGAACTCCTAGGCTCCCAGGAAGGTATTGTTGTCTGTGGGGTTGTTAAAATTAGCGTTTCTGTGGGGAGTTGAAGGCTCTGCCATCTTGCTGATATGCAAAAACACAAAAAATATCCTTCTCTTCTTTAGTAAGCATTGTCTATCTTAAGAATTATAAACAACTAATTCAGAATAGAGACATACTGTATTAGCTATTATAAATATTTCAAAAGACCCACCTATAAATGTTTAGGAGAACAATTCTAGAACCATTGTAGTTTGTACTCTAGAACATGTTTTTTACACTTTAGCTTACCCACATATTTCCTACAGTTCTTCTTAAAATGCAGTTTCTGATTCAGAAGATTTGGCGTGGGATCTGAGATTATGAACTTACTATGAAGGTACTTCAAAAAGTTCAAGGAAAATGGAATTAAAGTACGAGTTTATTTTGGTGCAAAAAATTTTTGCAATCCATGCATGTTTTTTCATAGTATGCATTTTCCACAAACTTTTTTGCATATATTTTTAAAATTTTATTTCTCAGCTTTTAAAATGTTTCTTTCAAATTTTTTATTATGCTTTCTGACTTACATATAATCACTCTACATTTTTGTGGAGTGTAGCATGATTTTGCAAAGCATACATACATATGACTATCAATTCACATATAGATATATTTGCCTTATTTGACATTGAATATTGCATTATATTGTGCACATTTGGTAATTCTACTAGTTTTTTAAGTATATATCAGCAAAAGGTTTTATTCTGCTGTGGCACACTACTTCCATAACCTAGTCCACTTTTTTTACATGCATTCCATGGACATTTTGAAGATCCCCTCAAAAACTTCTAGGTTTTGGTTATCTCTGAACACTAAGTTACAAGGAATACTGTCTTCTATAAAGATCCACTCATACAGGAGTTATAGTGTGTCATATTGATAAAGTATAGTCAAGGTAGGCATATAGCAAGAGAGTTATATAGGGAGGTATATTTGGGTTCCAGTGTTTTACTTGCTTGGAATATGAAAAAACACATTGTTTTATCAATAATGTAGTTGTTAGTGTGGGACTCATCTCCATAAACACAATCAAAATTCACTAAGCTACTGCTATTAGAAAGATTTCGACCAATAAGAAACCTAGACACAGGTGTATCATGGTGTATAAAACTCTGCTGTAGTTAATAGAGTCTTTTCCCTAGAATTCTGGTAGATAATATGCTATATTTTTATGTACTTTTGATGTTTTGTAAATAGCAGGCTATATCAATGGTGAAAGGAGAAAATTCTGTGGGATGCTGCCCCTGAACACTAATCAGTATAGAAAGTGCTTTTGCCACTGTTCTCCTGGGCACTGGTTCAGTCAGTTTCCTGGGGTATATGCTAAAAATTGGCATGATTGCCTCCTGAGAGGGGAAATGCTCAAGTATCCTTGACTACAAAAGAAGAGTTGTCCTGTTCTCTGAATATCCTCCCCCTGAGATAACAAACAGTACTGCTCCCTCTGTTCTGTTTACTGACATATTTGAAAGTAATAATAATAATTTGAAAAAAACTGTTCCTTCTCATCCCCTCTGGGGAGTAATTTGTCGCTCTTTCTCTTTTTCTGCACCCACCCCTAGCCCTGCAAGTGTATGTGCCCTACAGGAAAAAAAAATCTCTTCTGAAATGCTCTCTTCTAAAATACCAGATTTATGATTTTTTGAAAACTGAACACGGTAGCCCTTAGTAATCTCATTCTGCAGAAAATGTCAATTATGAGGCTTTGGAAGAGCATGCACACCTTGCATATCAAGAATGGCAGTATTTTTTTAATGACATTAGTTTTAGCAATTAAATGGTGCCTCCTCAGGAGTGCTAAAATAGGTAATTTCTTCCAACTTGCTACTCCCAACTGTTGTTGCTTCACTTTCAATCAGCGGTTGAAGCCTGTCAATCCTGCTTCTATAGTGTTCTTGGAATCTGTTTTAACTATCCATTCCCACTGCAATTATCTTCTTTTAGGCCTTGTCTTCTCTCCCCTGAGCCATTACAAGAACTTTTAAAATGGCTTCTCCCACTCTAGATTCATCCCAATGCTAGTCACTTCCATCTCTTGCTGTTGGACTCTTGTCTTTCTGAACCCTAAATCTGATCATCCCATTTCCTTCTCTGAAGATGGGTGTTGAATTTCTAGTACCTGTAAGATAAATTGAGATTTTTAGCACAACTTCTACCTTCTACTAACCTTCCTTAAGACAGTGTCACTTTTTATTTACCCTCATCCTCAGATCCCTGAGTTCTACTGGCACTAGACTCCTGGATTTTATTTTTCAAACACACAGTGCTTTGGTTCACATCTTTGCCTTGGCGTAAGCTGGGCCCTCTGCCTGGATTCTGTTTCATCTCTTCTCTACTTAGAAAGCCCATTTTTCTGCTATTCAAAGGAAATGCTATTTTCTTAGAAAAATCCAAGACTTCCTTCTATTCTTCTACAGCTCCCTGCTTGTGCTTCCTATAGAGTATCACTTGTGAAACATCTCCCTCTAGACTTTAAGTCCTAGAGTTGAGGTCTAGCTTCAGACACCCTCATATACAACAATTCTCTAGCAAAAGAGCTGGCACACACTAGGTGCTTAGTGAATAAGTTTTGCATGTGGGTAGATGGAGAGAAGGACAGGTGAAAGAAAGGAAAAGAAAGACCTAGTCTTCCTGAATTGCATAACTTGTTTGTTTATGACGAATTAAAAGAAAAAGCAGGATATATACATATATGTATATCCCCATGTAATATACTCAGTCCACAGTGTGACTCTAAAGCCATGAAGTTCTCTTTTGTATTAGATGATTTTATCAATAGTAAGATCTGATAACTTAGGTTTTTAGGGACTGATATTTACTTATTCTGTTTGGCCCTAATTCTTTACCCTTCCCTTATTCTAGAATGATGGAGGTCTTCGACTTGTGGCTAATTCAATGGTGTGGGTTCCAGAAGGTGGGATGCTGCAGATTACCAACAGAATCTTACAAGCCGAAGCTCCAGGGACCAGTGCCGAAGAAATCATCTACAAGATCACACAAGACCACCCCAAATTTGGTAACTCCTTTTTCCTTTGGTATGGTTTTATCTTTGCATTCAGCAGTCTAGGACTTGCTTTTTTTAAAGTACCACAACAGCAAGGTGATTTCAATTAACTACAGTTTCTAATATTTCACATAGCTCCTTTAAAAGGAATAATCGTGATAGCTCCTGCATTATACACATTTATTAGGAAGTGTATGAAATTTTATATATATATATATAAAACCTTAAATTTAAGTTTCAAAATAAGTTCATTTTGCAAATGAGAATACTGGGGTAAAGTAGCTTGCTAAAAGTTACTCAACTGGGACCAGCAGTTGGCCTAATGGCTATGTCGCTGGACTCCCATGTAGTTGACCATGGTTCAAGTCCTGGACCCGATGGCTTGTGCGTGTTGGGCATGTGTGCATGCATGCCCAAGATCTCGAGAGAAGAATGGAGGAGAAGGGATTGCAGCATGGCCATCACCCCTGGGGAGTGAGTTCTCGCTTTCGATCTCTGTCTCTCTCTGTCTTTCTGGTGAGCACACATGCTCTAGAGCAAAAACCTCTCCAAAAAAAAAAAAAAAAAAAGTTACCACTACCTAACTAATATATGCCCATTTAATTTCAAAGGTCAGACTCTCAGACTGCACTTTCTATCCCTCTTGGTACATCACTAGACTTCTTAATAAAACTTTTTGTAGAGAGATTTTTTGCTATAGGGCATGTGTGCTCACTAGAAAGACAGAGAGACAGAAAGTGAAAAATCATTCTCCCAGAGGGGATGGCCATGCCATTACCCCTTCCTCTCCATCCTCATCCTGGGATTTTGAGTACACATGCATATATGCCTGGTGAGAGTTTTAAACCACAGGATCCAGGACTCAAACTGTGGTCGACTACATGGGAGTTCAGTGATGTGACCATTACGCCATCTGCTGGCCCCAGTGAAACATTTTTTATAAATTACCTAAGTCATTTTTATAAGATCTCCATTCACACTCCCATCCCCAGCAAGGTAGTGGAGTACATACTTCCCATCATTGTTACCTAGGAATGTTAAATAATATATAATAGGAATTATATATTATAAGGCATTTATAGCTGACCTCCCAAGAATAGAGAAAAGTCTTCAGATGCCAGCAATGAAGAACGTATTGAAATCAGTCTGTGTATGAACTAAAGGGGGATTATATATGTCTCAATGACCTCTGGGCTTTAGGTTTAAAACCCTTGCAGAGATAGGGAGTTGGAATTAAGACCCTGCATAAAAATAGGACTCTAAAAGGGAATCCCTTCACTTACAGGGAAAGGATAGAAAGCAAGATGTCAAGAATTCAGAATTTCATGTGTATTTCTCCTGAAGTTCTGGGGTTAAATTACACTATGCACCCTGTCTGAGAAAACCAAAGCTGAGACATTATATGGGAATTAATCTTAGGCCAATGAAGCTCCTTACGTTCCTTGCAGAAGCTAGTAGAAATTACTATAGAAGGTCCACCCTTGAGCTGGCCATGGCCTGGTGGTTAACGCAGCCAGATTTTCTCATAGCCAACCTAGCGGTTGGAGTCCCAGACCTCAAGATTTGAGAAACACAAGAACACATGTGTGTGCAGGACCAAAATCCCGACAAGGGGGGAAAGCGGAGAAGGGATTCCAGTCTGACTGTGAAGAGGAATGCTTTCTTGCTTTCTCTCTCTGTCTCTGGTGAGCACATAACCCCTCCGACAAATTTAAAAAAAATAAAAAGACCCACCCTCAACTAGGCCACAGAGAAAGCCACTGAAGAATTAGCTTAGAATTTAAAATCATGGAACATATGAGGAAACAATCTATGGTATTAGAACCAAAACAAACAAGAAGATTAAAATCCCAAGTATTTCACATTAAGGAATAATCTTACAAATACTGTGAAATAAGAGTATTTAAAATAATTTAAAGGCATAAAAGATGGAATTGAAACAGTCAGGAAATAACAAAATGCTATAGAGAGAAAGGAATTCCTCATTTAAAAATGAAGATTATATTCATTAAAAGTAAAAACTCACTTGGCACATTAAATAGCACAGGAAGAATCATCGACTTTTCCTCTGGGCAGTCAGATTTTTTAAATATCATGTTTTGTGTCAGGAAAAAAATGAACTTTTGTGCAATTTAAAAATAATTCCAACAGCCGCAAAGATGTTGAAAAGTACCATCTAATCAAGAATTAATATTATAATTTTAAAACAGTTTAGCTGAGGTCTCAGGTGTCATTAATTATACCTATGTAATATTGAGGAAGGAAAGGGTACCTTTTTGAGCCAAGGGCTTTCCTCAGAGATTCATTCAGCACGATTTTAAAAAAAAATCTTTTAATTTAAAAATAACCTTAGGTTGGGGCCAGCAGTTGGCATGGTGGTTAGTACTGGACTCCCAGATGGCTGACCCCAGTTTGAATCCTGGACCCTGTAGCTTGAAAATCATGCTGGGTGTGTGTGTCAGCTTGTGCCCAAACTCCCAAGAAGAGAAGGGAGAAGGAGGGATTGCAGTGTGGCCATTCCCCACTGGAGGGTGATTCCTCACTTTCCCCTCTCTGTCTCTTGCAAGTGCATGTGCCCTATAGCAAAAACTAAGAATAAACCAAAAATCCTTAGGCTTACTTGTTGAAAAATTATAAATATTGTACAGAGAGCTCTTGAATACCCTCTACCCATCTTCCCCTAAAGTTAACCTCTTACATAACCATAGAACAATTATTGAAGCCAGAAAATGTACACTGATTCAATACTAATTAGTTAATATATAGACCTTATTCAAATTTTGCCAGTTCCCCATTAATCCCCTTTTTCTGATTCAACCCAGAATCTAAAATTACGTGTAATTGTTGTGTTTCCTTGATTTTCTTCTGTGACAGGTCTCAGTCTTTAGCTTTAAGGACCTTTATAAATTTGAAAAATACTGATTAGGTATTTGTAGACTATCACTCTATTTGAATTTACCTAGTGACTCTTTTAAAAGTATAGGTTATTGTACCCACAGGGTATGCATGCTTACTGGAGGGGAACAGAGAGAGGGAAAATAAGAAATCACACCCCAGGAGGATGGCCACGCTACAATCCCTTCTCCTCCATTTTCTTGGGATTTTGGCCACACATGCAAAAATGTTCAGCATGTTTTCAAGCCACCAGTCTGGGATTTGAACCACAGAGTAAGTCATGTGGGGTCAAGCACCTTAACAACTATGCCACCTGCTGGCTCCACTTATTCTTAAGGTTATGCCTTTTCCTTTTTCTTAGTGCGTCATATCAGGAGATACATGACATCACTATATCATATTGCTGATGATGTTTACTAACAGATTACTCGGTTAAAGTGATATACACCAGATTTCTCCACTGTAAAGGTACTGTTTTTCCACGTATAATTTGAAGAGTAACCTATTCTCATCATACTTTCAAACGCTAATTTAAGCTAGGTAATTTTTAAGTCCTTTTCATCTCTAAAAATCTATAACTCTTTTGATTGTTAAATTTTGTGCCTTTATCTTGATTATTAAAAGCCAGAAAGTTAAGCCTTTGAATTTCCTAGAAATAGTCCAATATTCCATTAAGTATGAAACAGAACAATGCTGAATTTACGTGGTATTTAAGCAGATAAAGTTTGCCATTTCAGCTTGGTAAATGCCAAGTAGACTTTACTGTGACCCCTTCCTGCTATAAATCTCTTAATTAACTTCTTCCTGCGAACATAATCTTTTTGTGTGTCCAGAGCTCCGCATTAATAATAATCGAATCATGTTACCCTTAGGAACCATTCAAGGGTGAAAAAGGTGGTGGGAACTGGAAGGCTGCTTGGCACAAACATACCTATCTATCTCCATCCTTCCCAATGGTGTGAATTTGTGGAGCCCCTATCTCCTTGACACCTTGCCACTGCACACTCCCTCATCACTTTAGAATGTTCGAATTGGGCTTTAGATTTTTTAAGACGAACCAACCTTGGAATGGAACCAAATGTAAATTACTTATATAGTATGTGTGTAAAGGAGCTAAATTCAACCACTCACAGCCCTACCAGCATTTTCAAATGGAAAGTTCAACAAGTTGATTAACATTTGTACCCTTAGCTATTTTATAGATTCAAAAGCAAATTTAATGAGGTGATTTTATTAAGTAATTTGAGTATCATTTGAAAGAGAATCTGACTTAATCCAACATACTGACAACTCTAAATCATTTATATTTACTATAGTGTAAGAAAGTATTAATACAAATTATCTTAATCTCAAAATATTAGGTTGTTGGGAGAGTCATGAAGTATTTTTCTATGTTTTTCTATGCAAAAATACATCATGACTCTCCCAACAACCCAATAAAATTCATGGAGAGTCAAATGAGATACCAATGATTAATTCCTATTAAATTTTCCTTTTGAAATTCTTAAATATAGACTTTAGTATAAAATAAATCCCAAGTGGGATTTTTTTTTTTTTTTGCCTTTTTTTGGGAGAGAGGATTTTGCTATAGGGCCTGTGGGCTCGCTGGAGAGACAGAGAGAAACAGAGAGACAGAAAGCAAGAAATCAACCCCCCCACCCCCCCCAGCCTCCCAAAGGGGATGGCCATGCCACAATACCTTCTCCTCTGTTCTCCTCTCCGGAGGGCATGCATACACACGCACCCGGCATGAGTTTTAAGCTGCCAGGTCCGGGACTCAAACCACAGTCAACTACGTGGGAGTCTAGTGACATAACCATTATGCCATTTATTGATCCAGTTTTTTGAAACCTAGATTTTCATATGGTTAAGGTGTCATCTCCCTTAGCATTGTCATGATAAAAGCAGAGGTACTACACAAAAGTTTTGCTCTCACCTCTCTGTAGTGAACCCCACAAAATACTGTATTTCTCTGTTTCTGTGTATGGGTTTGTCCAAAGGCACCTGCATTCAGCATATCCAGTACTGGGTGCTTCCCCCCAACCTCCTCGTCTTTCTGTTTACACTCATCATCAACATCCAGTCACCCAGTCCAACAGGTGGTTCTCAGGTTCCATTGCATCCACTTACTCAGAACTCTTGGATCTGTTTCTTTTTCTTCAATCTTGCCTCTCTTGCTTTATTTCAGGTCTCCATCTCTGGAATTTGCAGTGGCCTCATAATTGGTCAAACTGTCTACATTTCATAAATGTTAGATACTATTGTTACCATTTTTTGTAGAGTAAGTCCAGCCTTCTTTTGTACTGATCATGCATGTGTGTTTTAAATCGGTTCCTGCTGTTCACCTGCTGAAAATCTCAGGATGGCTCCCAGTGTCTTTTGGGGCTGATCTTCATGGTTAGGAGCTGCATCTTGCTTATCTTTGAATCTTCTACCTTTGAAGAGTCTAGCACTGGCACCTAATAGGTATTTAATGACAATTTACCAAGTTGAAATTTATGGAATTAGCCAGTGTCCAGTGATTCCTGTTCATCTGTACAGCATGGAAGTGATTTTTAAATATGAATAATATTGAGTCATTAGAAAAGTCATGACACAATTTTGCAGAGAAATGCATCATGACTTTTCTGATGACCCAATAGTTTTATTGCCTTACTAGGAAATTCTGTTTTCTGAATAGGTGAGATATGAGTATTTGAATATTTTGTAGGCTCCATAGTTTCATTGTGGAAATTTCCTTTCAGAATATTTTACATTTCTATCCCTCTCACTATCAGAGTGGTAGGGTGACTTCTTTCAGATTTATTTTTAGATGCAATTTCATGATATCGAAGCTTCTGTTTTCAGTAATTCATCCAGTCCAACATTTGGTCTTCACTTCCCAGGCATCTTCTTGTGAAATTTTAATTGTTTCTATAACACCTCTGTATTTGTGATCTCACTTTAAGAAAATAGTAGCTTCCAGTGAAGAATAAGCAGTAAAAAACAGTAGTGTTTAGATTGAGATTTTTTTTTTGTTTGTTTCAGTTCTAATCAAATTTAAAGACCAAAGGAAGAGAAAACATGATTAGGAGGGTAAATACTGGTATAGGCACAGAAAATAATGATGATTGGCCACTGAACTTCATGACAAAGACTGTGAGTTCAGATCCTGGTTCATCTATTTATCTTTTGTGTGACCTCCCCAACAAATAATTAAACTTCTCTGAGCCTGAAGAACTTCATCTGTAAAATAAAAATGATAGTGTCATTCAGAAGGATTAAACGGAAATAATGATAAGGACAACCAACATTGTTTTTCAGCACCTGTAAAGCATGTTCTGTTCTCATTTTTACCAGAGGAACAGAAACTTATGGCACCTAAGCAAGCTCACACAGCTGGACTAGGTGGAGTTGGCTTTGAACCAACACATAAAAGACAGTGCGGTGCCTGCCATATGTTTTCTTGTGTTCACTGTTATTATTTTTCAATGGACAGAATTCTCTCCAGAATAACTGTCACTGAATTGTTTCTAATTTTCCATTGTGTTTGCACTAAGAACTTCCTGGTTGGAAAACATTTTCTTTTCCTTACAAATTTGTGGTTAGAAATGAATCCATTCAATGTCCAGTATTCAATATTGGTTTACAGCATTCACTGTTTGGGTCTCCTTATGTAATTTTACTAAATACAAGTTAGTATCTTCATACATGAGTTGTCACTGAATGGCTTTGTTTTTTACTTGAAAAACTGGGACTTCTGTATCTAAAGGTGAACTCAGTAATATCTATTGAATTTTGTGCTAATGTCCTTTCTGTCAACTCAGATAATAATAAAGAAGTGAATCACTTTTTGTTTGTTTGTTACAGAAGCGAAGTGGTAGAAAAGGAGGATAAGCACTCAGACTTATTTTCCCAGGTGCCCTCAGTAACTGTGTGGCCTGTGCTCTCCTAGGGGAGGTGGTCCTCCTGGTGAATATGCCTGCCGACAGTCCCACGGACCAAGGGCAGCACCTGCCCGATGGGAGGACAGCAACGCCCACCAGCACCTTCACCCAGCAGGACATCGACGAAGGCATCGTGTGGTACAGGCACTCGGGGGCCCCAGCCCAGAGTGACGCCTTCCGCTTCCAGGTACATGCTGCTTCTTGAGTTTTCTGAAGTCACATGAAAACCATCACCCTTACATATAAACAATTTGGGTGATTTTCTGCAGTTTCCTGGAAGCCATGTTTCCAGGAAGAAAAATATAATTCATAGCATTGGAGGTTTTTTTAATATGTCAGTTTAGATGTGGGAATATCTCCCCAAGCAGAGTCATCCATAACAAAGAGGTTTATTTTAGATCATGGCCACATTATTCAGAGAACAGTGTTTTTAAATATGAACATATCATATGAAGAAAAACATCTTATCTTTTTTTTGGAATGTTCTTGGAACATTTACTCTCTTATGATAATTATGATCATAAACTTATACCTGAGTAGTTGATTCTAACGTCAGCTCTGCTACTTATTCACTACAAACTTTGGCCAAATTACTTGGGCAAAATTCTTGTGCTTCACTTTCCTTGCCTGTGAGATGGAATTATTGAGGGGATTTAATGAGTTAATACATACATAAAAGGCATTTAGAATATTGTATGTTATATACTAAGCACGATGTAAAGGTTTGTTATGCCATTTATAACAATTGATCAGTTATACCAGGCCATAAGGACACCCTCATTAAAGAACAAGAAATTAGCCTGGGTACATTCTCTGGACATTATGAATATGATTAGAAATTAATCATTAAAGGGGAAATAAAAAATTGAAACCACTTCAAACATTTAAAATGGAGTCCTGATCTGGTCCTGTGGCCCAGCAGTTAAGGGAGCTAGATCCTATGACCAACTATGGGATTCAAGGCCCAGCTCTTGGCAGCTTGGAAAACATACTAGGGGTGTGTGCCTCTTGCCCCAAATCCTTGCTGGATGAAGAAATGGAGAAGAAGGGATTGTGGCATGACCACGTCCCATTGGAGCATACTTTCTCACTCTCTTCCTCTGTCTCTCTCGTGCATGCATGCACCCTCTGGCAATTAAAAAAAAAGTCTTCTAAATAATTACTAGGTCTTTAAAGAAATCAAAACAGCAAACTACTAAGAAATATTGATGAGGAAATAACTTATGAAAATTTAAATGCTATGGACAGAATTATACTCAGAAGAAAATTGATGGCCTTAAGCTTTTATTACTGAGCAAGAATGCGTGAAAAGAAATGGACTAAATATTCACCTCAAGAAGCCTGAGAACCACAAGGGAAACCTAAGGAAAGAGAAAAGAAGGAATTAGTAGAGATAAGCAGAGGAATCAATGGATTATAAAATGCTTGGAATGATAAATGAGTACAAAAACTGATTCTTTGAGAAGACCAATAAAATTGGACAGACCTCTGATAAGCACACATTGGGAATAAAGAATTAAACAGAAATAAAAGGAATCAGGAATTAACAGCTACGAAAGGGTGTTTAAATGGATACAGAGAAGAATTTGGCAAAGTGTCAGAGAAAATGTAATGTTCATGTGACCCGCTAAGGCCGTCTGGGGGCCCCTCAAAGTCTGATACTTTTCCTTCGTCTCAGAAACCAGTTGGGAATAAACCATCCACAACAACTCCCCTTGTTGAAATTATTATTCATTCTGCTTCTGATGCCTGTGGTGTACATCTTTGTTGCCTGACTAATTTATGTTCTGTAAAAGATGTGCTTTTCCAAAGAGCAGGTTGAGATGAATTTTGGAATCCATTAAAATGAGATTATACTGAGAGCATTGACTGCCCGAGTGAGCAAATATTGTGAGCCCTGTGCCCAGGTTAACTTTTCATTTTCAGTAGCTGGGGTCTGCAGCAGTCATCAAAGAATGAGTCAGAATGGAAGCAAAGACCTCAATCACAAGAAGTCACCTCAGCAAACTAGAATCCTCAGATCTGCCTTTGCTTTCATAGGGGTCAGGATGAAGAATGTTAGCAGTATGGAGTTTTCCCCTGGAAGGGGATGTTAAACCTCTGCTCAAAACATTTGATGGCTTTTGCAAGTTGGTTCCTAAGTGGATAACATAAAATAAAATAATAAAAAAGAAAATGGAAAAAAATTCCTTTTACAGTTTTTTTAAAAAAAATAAACTTACTAGAGCTTAAAACCTTCAGTTGAACCTTATTACTTCAGGTGTTTTCCTTTGGAGTCTTCACATGTATTGCACAAAATGTGTTAAAAACTATTAGAAATTGCCTTCAAATGATATACAGTGTTCTATAGAATATCCCCAATAGTGACAACATATCATCCTATACAAATATAACCAAATAGCCAAAAGTCATTCAGAAGCAAATCTGGTTAAGAAAAACAGTGGTTATTATTTTCAGTTAGAACAGGGAATAATTATGAAGTAATGAGCTCAGCTTTCTTATATGGTTTGTGAACTTCATCTGAAGGCATTCCAAAAAATGCATTTGAACACTGACAGAAGCTTTATTGGAAACCCGAAATAACTCTCTGTGATTATGTTCTGTATGTAAAAATTTGGGTGTGTTTGTTCTTAAAATCTCATTGTTTTATAGATTCACCTCCTATTTTGACTCGAAATGACACAGAACTATAGCTATATGCTAATATAAATAACTAGCAACTTTTTTCCAGTCATCATTTTGGTGTCCCCAAGGATTTTTAACTGAAAAAAAAAAATGCTATCCTCATAATTCTATTCTTTCTTCCCTTCTATTTTTTCTCTTTAAAGCAGAAGATGCAGTATAATGAATTGCATGAATTTAATTCCATTTTAGTGTTGATGTGTTGTCATGAGCCATCAACGCATCCCATCTGTTACTTACATGGAAGACTTGGGATTTATGTAGTGTGAATGGTATTAAAAACTAGAGCATGGCACAGCGAGAAGAAAGCATGCACATTCACAGTCATTTTTGGTATGGGAAGGATCCCTGGTTTGGTATATTCAGATTACCTTGACATGGCCTTGGGGATTTGGTTTGGAAAACACAACATATTTCATATCAGTGTCTTTATTTGAAACCAGATTGATTCCCTTGATCAGTAATAAGCCCACTTTTCACCACCAGCCTAATGCTCTGTTCAAGAGACAGGAAAACATGTTTTCTCCTTTCCTAATTTCCCAAAATTAGCAAAGTTGGTCATCTTGGTCAATGGGAAGAAAGGTCATGAACCAAACTGACCTGATTAAATACTGCCACTTGATTGGCTTTGGGACTTTGACATGTTGATTAAATTTTTGACCTGCAGCTTTCTCATTTGTGAAGAAGGGGGTAGTAATATTTATTTTGTAGGTACTGAATAAGATAACCTTTGAAAATTAGCTGGGAAACACAGTAACACTGCAAATTCAATAGCATAGAGATTAATTACATGAGTCTGAACTAGTGCAATAGAATTTTTTTGCTTTAGACTAAAACATTACTGATTTTCTTCGATGCTTTGATTTCCATATTTCAGGATTTTTGTCTTCTTTTGAACTGTTGATAGGTTCATCTACCTACTATTTGAACTGAATCCTAACCTTTTTTTTCCTGGCTTTACGGTTTAAGCAAACTTCTCTTAACATTTTTTTATTTTGATCTATTAAAACTAAAACTTGTTTTTTTGAAATTAAAAAAACGCATTTAAAAATACCTATTAATATCTACTTAATGACTGCAGTAAGTAATATAGCCCCAGCGAGGTGCTGCTTTATAGTATGTTCACTTTACTCACTGAGGTTTACACCTAAAGTCAGACATACATTCTTAAATATCTATATATCAGCTGTGCTTGATATTGAAAGTCTTTAATTAAGATCTTTAGTGAATCAATAAAATGTGAAAAAATGGCGTGGAAAACAACTGTATATACCAGATACTGTTTGGGAGAAGGGGGGAGTTGGCAGAGGATGAGAGATGGGGGGAAAAAAAGCAAAATATATTAGAAGCAAGAAATAGAAAATTATTTGTTGATGATAACACGTATGGTAATATCCTTGATTAAGCAAGTATACAGTGTATCCTGGATGGAAAAATCTCATTTTGTATACTGTATTGATGTACAGTGGATTACTGTAAATAAATAAATAAATAAGAAGGGAAAAAAAAGTAGCTGGGACAGCACTGAGCCCTTGATAGATGTTTAGTGAATGAAAGCTGTTGTTGTTAGTATTATAGCTACATTATCATATATCTCCTTGAAAACATGTAGATATTTTGAAATTTGACTGCAGGCATCTGCTGTGATCCCAATAACAAAGGAGACCCTGTATCTGTTGGAATAACTTTAGAAGAAAGAGAAAGAGCTGCTTTTTTTTTCTTAGAATAGATGACACTGTCCTCTGTCATCTACAACTAATGCAGCTCCACATGGCCACACAGGGCTTAGCAGCTCTTGTGACAAGACCAAGGTGTACAAAACAATGGAGAGAAGAAGAGTTCAAGGGAGCCGTTGATGGGAAGATGTGATGATGAGGGAGAACCTTCATAGGAAAAGCATCATTTTTCACCATTTTTGAAACAGGAAAAAGTTGTTTTGTGATGACCACCACCTTAATTGTAAAGTTATTTATCTTACCCTGTAATTGGGTGTCTGAGATTTGTCATTGTTAGCTAGATATAGATAACTGTGTTGAGTAACAATGAAAGAAATAGAATAAAAACCATATTACATATTTATGTTTAGATATTACATAGTCATCAAAAATTATATTTCCAAGAATGTTTAATGATCTATCACATTATCATATTATGTTAAGTAAATTATTGGAACACATAATTGTTTATAGAAGTTGATGTATCTATATAAAAATGATTAAACTAAAATGCATCAATATATTAGTAATCACTATTTCTAAGTAATGAAATTCTGAATGATTTTTTCTTACTCATCCTTCCCTGAATTTTAGCATTGCCTTCAATGATTATCTCTTTTAGAATCAGTAGAAGATTAATATTAAATTATGCAGAGCAAAATGAAAATTGTAATGTAGGAGTATGTAGAATTGAAACATGACTGATTTAAAGGGGGGTAAAGTAGCATGCACTAACATGCCATGCCCAGCAGAAGAGAGGCTCACCAGTCTGACTGTTCTTCTCAGGTGTCCAGAGCCACAGATGCCCACACTCACCTGGAGAGCCGCATGTTCAACATCGCAATCCTACCACAGACGCCCAAAGCACCTAAACTTTCCCTGGGAACATCTCTTCATATGACTGTGAGTTGGGTGGCAGAGCTCATGGCTTCCACTTGGGGTGGGACACACTAATAGGGTTTGATGGACTGTCCTGGTTTTGTATATAGTAAATGCATTGCCCAGAATGCAGATTCTGGGGTCAACAAAACTGACCCTGCAAACCATAGTAGAGTCATTTTTTGCTGATTGAAAAAGAAACTGGGAGGACCAGCAGCTGGCATGGTGATTAAGGTGCTGGATTCCTACATGGCCAACTGTGGTTTAAGTCCCAGACCGCATGGCTTGGTTTCTCCTTCTCCCTCTCTCTCTGTCTGTCTCTCTTGCTCTCTGGTCAAGTTAAAGAATAATAATTATAATAAGTAAAATAGTTCTAAAAAAAAGAAACTTGAAATTTCCAGAGTGAAAGGAAGGTTAGGTAGACTCCATCTCAACCTCCCAAACACTGCTGATGTCCTTCCAACAGCATGACAGACAGTTACACGGTCTCGTTGAATGACTAGAAGACATTTCTGGCTATGTCCAGGTAATCAACATCACTTGTGTATGATTGTTCCGTTATTCCATTTTTAGAAAACGCCCTAGTAGGTGTTTCCTTTCTAATGTGTTGTCAGAAAAGTCGTGACACATTTTTGCATAGAAAAACAGAAAAAAAATGCATCATAACTTTTCCAGCCACCCAATAAAAGCTTCTGGAGAAGGTGCTGTTAAAGCCAAATTCAGAGAGATATATAGCAATTATCTAGATGAAAATTGGGAGCAAGTTGGGAAGAATGAAGGGGTGGCAAAGGGCCCTGTCAGTGGTGAAAAGAGCACATGAAAGATCCAGAGGTGAACAAGGATACGATGGTTGGAAAGTTGCAAATAGTTCAATGAAGCTGGAGAAGTTCGGAAGGCAGGGGAGGCATGATGAGGACCTAGAGGTCATCGAGCTCGATCGTGGAAGGCCCTGAATGCTGTGTGGGAAGGAGGGTGGGGGCAAGGAAAGACCTGAAGCAAGATGACAACGAAGTTAGGACTTGGATCTCAGTTCAGACACTTAGCAACTTTACTGTAACCCTGTGTCTAGGGGAAAATACAATGCCAGAACCCCTCTTCCAGACAGAGCCCCAAGCATGCAAGACCTTGTGAATTAATCATTATAGATCCACATCTTAGTTAGCGCCCACATAATTACACTCGAGTAGTGTATCAGCCCTGAGCCACAACAAAGAGAGCAGCTAGAGTGTCAGAAATTATGGGTCTGGGGCATGACAGAGACATAAAGGGGAAAATAGTTTTTTAATGAATAGCTGGTATCCACATTTCCACCATAAACCATAATTTAAAGAAATCATAATTCAGCAGCACTGGAAAGTCTCTAATTCATCATTCTGACTAGAAGAACTTGGATCAGAATTTTCTCTAAACTGTAAAGAAAAATGTGCATACACATTTCTTGCCAAATGCTAATGCAATGTTATTTTGAGTTTAGAGGGGAAAAAAAGCTGGGCCAGGAGCCATGAAGGTGGTGCTATACCTGCACTATTGCTATGGACCATAAAGATACTCTCCACATGGCTTGACCTTTAGGGTCTTCAGTTGCATGTTTTTGTCCGGGTATAACTTAGGATATTGCAAAGACTGGTTTCCTGTAAGATGCAGTTAGCCAATGTTACTTAAAGTATGCAGTTTATATTCTTGTTGATGTTAATTAGGGCTGTTATTGTAGGGCATACATGTAATCTGTGGCAAAAACACTTAATGATTTGGATTCGTCTAAGCACACAAGTTTTGCATGTATTTGGTAAATGCATTATGAATATATACAGTAAATATATATATATGATATATTCATCTCTGTATTTAAAGGTAAGGGTCTACCTCTCCATTCATCAGGTGTTTCATTCATAAACATTTTTGAACACCTAATTTATACCAAGTGCTATGGGAGACACATTGGAAATTCAACTACAATAAAACATAGTCTCTATTCTCAGGGAGCTTCATGCTTAAAAGCAGAGACAAGCAAACAAATAAACAGTGATAGACAGTCATAAATGCCATGACAGAACAATGATACGGGAGGATCTAACCAGCAGGAGGAGGGAGGGAGTTGTGGAAGCCTTCCTGTAGTAGGTGACCTGAACTGATTGAGTGTAAATTATGTCAGGCCAGCATTCTCAAACTTAAATCTGTACCAGAATTACCTATAGAGTTGGTTAAAATACAGATTTCTGGAGCCCACCCCAGAGTTTTCTAACTCACTGGGTCTGGAGTAGGGCCAAGAATTTGCATTTCTAACAGGTTCCAGGTGATGGTGTTTGCGGCTACTCAGATCACCACCATTGAAGAACCACTGATCTAGACTGAAAATGGGGAAATTCATCCAGGCAAGAGGAGCAGCTGGGTAATTTTTTTAAAAAAGGAAACTTAACATATGTGAAGAATTTCAAGTAGTTCAGTTGACTGGAGCATAAATCCCTAGGTGAAAAAGAAACAAAAAGTGAAAGTCAGACCATAAGCGTGCTGAAAGATAAGATGGAATTTCCATTTGGTCCTGAAAGGCTATTTGGGCAAGTAAGGTATAGGAGGATTGGTAGCAGAGAAGGGTCATGATCTGATTTTTAATAATCAATTTAGGAAGGTCATTCTGGCTGCAGGATGGAGACTGTCCTGAATAGGGGCCAGATGAAAACAAATACATTATTGTGATTATCTAGACAAAGAAAGGTTAATGGTATGAACCGTGTGAGTTGCAATAACAGGGAGATATTGAAGAGATATTTGTCACAATCATGTTCATTATAGCATTATTCACAGTCATCAAGAGGTGGAAGCAATCTTTAATAAATGTTGACACATTGATGGACAAAGGAAATTGTTATACACACACACTGGAATATTATTCACTCTTATAAAAGAAGGAAGTTCTGCAGTGTGCGACGACCTGGATAAACCTTGAAGACACTATGCTAAATAAAATAAGCCAGTCACGAAAAGGCAAATACTGCACAATTACACTCACACGAGATGTCCAAAGTAGTCAAGCTCTTAAAAAACAGAAAGTTGGGAGCCGGCAGGTAGCGTGGTGGTTAAGACAGTGGACTCTCACATGGCCAACTGTGGTTCAAGTCCTGGACCTGGCAGTTTGCTTTCTCACTTTCCCTCTCTCTGGTCAAATTAAACTGGTCAGTTTTGCAAGATGGGAAAGTTCTGGAGATCTGTTGCACATCTATATGGATGTAGTTAACATTATAGGACTATACACTTGTAAACTGTTAAGATGGTAAGGGAAAAAAAGAGAGAGGGAAAGATTATGGAAGATTTAGAGACACTGGTCACTTAGACATGGAAGGAGAGTGAAATGTCCCAGTTTTTGAGTATATGGAGGTACCATTCATTGAGATCAGGAATATCTGAGGACTTCAGGCTAGAGGCATGATGAGTTTGGTTTGGAATATTCTTATAAATGGTGTCCTGGAGCAGAGTGAGTGAAAATGAAAATAAGTGACAAGCATTCACAAATGTGATAAGTGGGAGGGTGGTGGGGGCTAGATCATGTGGGCCCCAGAGGCCACCACAGGGAGTCGGCTTTTATTCTGTGTGAAATGGAGAACCATTGCAGGTGCCAAGCAGAGGTCTAGTGGCCTTTTTAAAGGGATCACGCTGGGAACTGTGCAGAAACAGACTGTAAGGGAGTCGAGAAAGCAGTTGGGAAGCCATGTTGTGATAGGGTGGAGAAAGACTAAGGCTCAGGCCAGGATGGCCACTGTGAGGTGGGGAGAAGCAGTTGGAATCCAAGTCTATTCAAAGGTAGTAAGTATGTCATAAAAACCATTATTCTGTGATCTTCTTTGGTTGATAGAAACGTTATTTGAAAAGTGTCTTCTGTAATGATTTCTATGCATTGTAATTTCTTATTTCTTATTATGCTTCATTGATAAATATTGAACATGCCCAAAACCTTTTATTAAAATTGATTATGCTTTGATGTATCTCAGCCTTAATATTGCTTTCTTCAGAGAATCACATCCTTACTTTTTTTTACATGGTGTCCATTTCTATGAATAGAGAAATAGTATCAATAAATTTCAAAGTAGAATATCTGTTATCTTGGCTGGAACATATTTCCCTTTTCCATAGCCTCTTTTCTCATTATTTCATTGTTTCAGGACATTTAGATTTTCAAAAATATTCTATGAGAACTTTTCTTTTTGTGATGCTTTTGAGATTAAAAGGAGGCAAACAGTACTGAACAATGTTCTGAGCTTGTACTCTGATATCTATGCATGTGTGCCCACATGTGTACATGTTTATGGGTATATGCACACACATATATAGGCTACATTATATATATATATTTTGAGTTTTTTGCCATAGGGTGTGTGCATTCTCTGGAGAGAGAGAAAGACAGTGAGAGGGAAAGTGAGAAACCACCTCCACCACTAGAGGGTATGACTGCAGTCCCTCCTCCTTTTTCCTCATGGGATTCTGGGCACACATGCACACGTGCCCGGCATGATTTTCAAGTCACCAGGTCCAGGACTCAAATTGCAGCCTGCATGTAGGAGTCCTGTGCCTTAATCACTAAACTGGCTGCTGGCCCCTTGTTTGCTTTTGTTTTGTTTTGTTCTCGAGTGCATGCACTCAAGAGAGAGAAAGTGAGAAATCACCACCGGGGAGATGATCATGCCACAGTCCCTTCTTCTCCATTCTCCTCTTGGGATTTTAGATGCACACGCACACATGCCTGGCAAGACTTTCAAACTACTTAGTCAAGACTTGAACTGCTCAGTCGGCCAGGTGGAATCCAGTCACCTTAATCTCCACACCACCTGCTGGTTCTAGACATCTATTTATAATTTGTCGTCCTTGTTTTATTTTAGGGTGAGAGACCAGCTGCTATTCAGAATTCTAATTTTCCTTGCTCATTACATTCCAGACTTGTGCAAGGGCCTGAAATACCACTTGTTACTATAGGGGGATTGTCCTGACCTGCAAATGATGCTGCCTCTCCCCAGGACAGCTACGCCTTGGGGACAATTACAAAGCGACTTCAACCTTCAATCTTTTCACGGTTAAAAGGAAGAACACCACACCCTCCTCTATGAGCGTTACTGAGCCCTTCTTAATCCCTTCCTAAATGGGAAAATTCCTTCTGAAAGAAGCAGAGCTTCAAAGAGCAGTAGTTCATGTCAAACTCTAACCTACCTTCAGGGGTCAGTTAGGAACCGCCTGCAACGAGCTGATGTTTTATTTCTGTTTCATGACAGCATGCGTGGCCCAGGTACGGGGCCCATGCTCAGACTGGATTTCTCTTTTCTCCTCTCCCCACCCCCTGTGATGCTTAGCATGGGAGTCTGAATCTGTCCTTCCTGGTGCTTTGAGTTCTACCTCTGGGAGTGGGTAATGGATGTGCACAAGGGAATGGAAAGTAAAAACTACGTCAGCTCTCTGATATATATTGCTTGGCTAATTAGTCATGAAAGGTAGAAGAGAATAGCAGTATCTACCTTTTTCGAATAGTAGAATTGAGACAAGGAGAAATGTTGACCTTTTTTTATCTGCTTTAATAAACAAATAGCTCTTAAACCTCTGAATAAAAGTGGGGAGCCTCTTTGGATGTTTAAGGTGCATTCATCTTTGGCCCTTTGAAACCAGAAGACATCACAATTCCAACTAGCAAAATTGGAGGAGTTGGGAAGGAATTCTCTGAAAAACCTTTTGGGCCCAAGACTCTAGTCTCTCAGTTGGGTCCTCAGAACTTCTTTTCAGAGTCAACCGTACATTACATTAGAGGCAAAGATAGGTGGGAAGCCAACTGTCAATGTATTAGGTCGTTGGGAAAGTCATAATGTATTTGGTTGTTGAGAAAGTCATAATGTATTTTTCTGTTTTTCTATGCAAAAATGTGTTATGACTTTCCCAACCACCCAATGGGGCAGATTAGACAGGCGTGATGCCTCATTTTCAGATGCATCCCCCTGCAAGGTCCTAGGGAAAAAGCAATCACATAGGGCACCATTAGCATGTATTGATATAAACCTGGAGGCAAGGAGGCAGGGGAGAAAACAGGGTGTAGGAAAACCTGAAGATACTGTAACTCTATAGGGTTCTTGAGGCTGGGGCAAATCTGCAGTGCATGAGACTGGATCCTTCTTTTCCATTCTTAAAGAAAATTTTGCGATGTGTGGCAATTTAAAAGCCCAGAGCAAATTTCCTTTTTATTTTAAATGAAGTTTGTTTTTGCCTCTGGCTTTTGTTTTCAGCACACTGTTTCTTCTTTCTTCTTAAACTTTGTTTAGGCTCGGGAAGACGGCTTGACTGTCATTCAACCTCATTCACTCTCATTTGTATCTGAGAGGCCAAGTGGGAAGATTCTGTACAATATCACTGTACCTCTGCATCCAAATCAAGGTAGGATGTGCAGGAGATGATCTTCTGAGTGATATTCTTGTCTCCTGGTTGTTGACCAGTTTTACAAACTCTGGAGTTTTGTCTCTGCATATATATAGAAATTGCCTGCTACTACTTTAAGGAATAACAATTACTCCTATCTCTTGCTCCAGTCCTCTAGTTTAGAACTAATTGAGATTGCTACGCTGTAGTCAGACAGATGGAGATGAATATGCCGGCTGCGGCTCTGATAGAGCTGTACTATATAACAGGGTGTCACATGGATGGAGCTCCCCTCCTATGCACTGACAGAATGGGACTCACATAGGCATTGTCCATAAGGACAAAGCCTGTCCTGTGAGGTTATACAGGTGAGAAAACCAGAATGAGCGTGTACTAAGAGCAAGGAGGTCTGATAGAGAGCCCAAAGGGATCTGAGACACACATACTCTGTCTTCACATTAGATAAGTTACTCCTCCTCTCATAGAGGAACATGGAAATATGGAATACATGAGGAGAGGTGAGCCCCTGCCATCAGTCCCCAGCCTTTAGATCTTGTCATGATAAGCCTGTGCCTATTAAGACAATTCTGGGGTTGGCCCAAAGTGCAGTGGTTAAGAGAGTCAGATCCCACATGGCTGACCCTGGTTTGAGTCCTAGCCCCAGAGACTTGAAAAACACACTGGGTACATGTGTGTGCAGATCTAAAATCCCTCTAGGATAAGGAAATGGAGGAGAAGGGATTGCAGTATGACCACTCCCCATTTAGGGGGTATTTTCTCTCTCCTTTTCTCCCTGTCTCTCTGTTTCTTTCTGGCAAGCAAATGTGTTCTTTGACAAAAGAAAAAAAATAAAAGACAGTTCAGCTCCCACCCAGGAGACTGTTTTCACAAGACCAATCGGTGCCTTAGATAAGGAGAAATAAAAGTTTAAAAATTAAAGTCCATTGGGGCCAACAGGTGGCATAGTGCTTAAGGTGCTGCACTCCCACATGGCTGATCACGGTTTGATTCCCAAGACCTAGTGGCTTGAAAAATCATGCTGAGTGCATGTGCATGTGTGCCCAAAATCCCAAGAGGAGAATGAAGGAGAAGGGACTGTAGCATGTCCTTCCCCCCAGGGGTTGATTTCTCACTTTCCTTCTCACTCTTTTTCTCTCTCTCTCTCCAGAGAGTGAACAGTCCTGATAGAAAAAAAAAAAATCCATTACCCCTTTTTTTAAAGTCCAAAAATATTGAGAGTCATAGTTAAAGGTCCTTCCTACACTTCCAGGGTATAGGCGGAAATATTTTAGATCAGCAGCCTGAGTTGTCTTCTCAAGAATCACCATTGTTCTCTCAATCCCTCAAGAAGTGAGTTAGTTCACTACGAAGTCTCTAAAGAGTGACTAGAACATGAATGAGGATCACAGCATCATTCTGCACCTGCAAAATGTACAAACTCAGGCAAACCTGCAGCCTCTAAAGCATTCTTCACAAGCAGAGTGACAATTACAAATCTGTTTCTTAGAATAATGAATATCTGTGCTGCTGCTGCTGCCAAAGATTGTCATAGAGACTAAGGAGTTTGAGGATAAGTTGAGAAGTTCTCTTTATATCCACACAGGAGATCAGTCTGTGTCAGTTTTCCGGGGACTTTGACCTTTGAAATGAAACTCATTTGAGAGACTCTTATAATTATGGTACCGTGATTCTGGCTTCTGGGACATTACGTGGTCTAGGCTACATGAGGGCCAGGAGTTAGCACCTTACTGTAGGTGATATTCCATGAACCCTTGTCAAGACTCTACCTGGGTTTCAGATGTGCCCTTTTCTTGAATGACCAGAGAATAATATAACAAGAGTAATTTAACAGCAATTGTTCCTGAAGGATACAAGATTCCCGCCAGTGAGAAAAGCAGGCCTGACGGCTCTGCTCAGTCACTTGGCCATGAAAATTACATTCAATGCTCACACCAAGTCTCCTCCCAAGGTATCATCGAGCACAGAGACCAGCCTCTGTCTCCTATCCGGTACTTCACACAGGACGACATTAACCAAGGCAAAATCATGTACCGGCCTCCCACTGCAGCCCCTCACCTCCAGGAGCTCATGGCCTTCTCCTTTGCTGGTAATGTGCTCCCCTCTACCTCAAAGCCTGCAAGCTGCTCTCTGTGGGTCTTTGTAATTCTTTCTCCATTCCGTCCAGATGGTTTGGTCATGCTGCTTGATAGCTGTTCAAAATAGCTGAGCCAATATGTGGCTTGGGCTTAATGCCATCATTTTTTGTTTTTGTTTTTGTTTTTCATTTACTCATGCATACGGGAGTACTTTCGCTTAATCTTTATTTTATGCCTCTGTGTGCCAATTGCTGAGTGAGACCTTGGAGGGTTGGTGGTTAAACACAGGAAAGCATGGATCCTACTCTTGGTGAGTCTTGAGATCTAACTCTAGAGATAAAATTTGATAAATAATCCCAGGAATAACTGTGTAATTAGAGGTTAAGATAAGAGCCCTGGGGACTAGCAGATGGCATAATGGTTACATCACTGGTGAGCACATGTAGTTGACCGCGGTTCAAGTTTTGGACTAGCAGCTTAAAACTCATGCCGGGTGCCCATGTGTGGGCACCCAAAGTCCCAAGAGGAGAATGGAGGAGGAGGGATTGCAGCATAGCCATGGAGGTGATTTCTCACCTTTTGTCTCTCTGAAGAGTGCATGTGCCTAATATTAGCAAAAATCTGTCTTAAAAAAAAATCTCTGAGTGTAGAAATAGATCTCTTTTCTAAGAAACATCCCCAGTGTTTAGTAACGGGGTAACTAATAGCCCATGATAATGTTCATGGTTCTCTAACCCCCACTTCGTAAGACCTACTTTACAAGAAACTCAGGATATCCTGGGATTAGAGGAAAGAAAACATTCCAGCCATGGTTGAAGGAATTTCCGCATCCATTATACTTGCCTGAGTTCCTACAGCCTCTTTAGAGAGAACAGAATCCTTCCTGTATAATCTATGGGATAAATGCCACATGATAAATCTTTCTCCCAGTTACAGTGTGTAAATCAATGTCCCGGGCATCACTCAAGTCTACAATGGAATTGACCCACCTGAGAGCCTTGTCAGTGATAAACGACATCACCCACATTCACTGATTTGTAGGATTTTATGTACTGATAAAATGGGACCTGAATGAATGTATTATAAATCACAGTAACTGCTATGATATAAAATTATTCTGCTCTGTGGTTCTTCTTTGCTACTTAAAATTAGTGCTAGTGCTATTAAATTCCACATAACATTAGCAGGCAATCTGTGATTGTTTCTTAGACCAAAATCATTTAGATGAAGGTGTTCTTTACTTTTCTAACCTCTGTGCCATATTTTGTGCCTTCCCCCTCTATTTCTGATGCCAAAATATTTTGTATACTGATTTTTCTGTCTTCCCTTTCAGGTCTCCCAGAATCAGTGAAATTCCACTTCACAGGTGAAGACTTAAATCTCAATTTAATTAGACAATGAAATGTCTTCTTTCCTTATTAGTTCTTTCTTTTTACTCCCTTCATCTTTATTTTTAGCTATTTTCTAAGACCTACTTAAAAATTATGTAATTTTTCTTCTAAAATAAGTGTCTTCTTAACTAACCACATAATTAGTTAAATACACAGTAATATCTTAACGGTATATTCATGGAAAAAATTACTCACTAGAATGCTAAAGATTAATGTTTAAGTCCTATTCCAAGGTGTCCTGATATCTATTAAAGTGGTTAAGGGACTGGCCCCATAGCCTGGTGATTATGGGAATGGGATACCTCATGGCAACTGGAGTTCAAATCCCAACCTTGGCAGCTTGGTGCTTGCCCCAAATTCTGACAGTGATGGAAAAGTGGAGGAGAAACAATTGCAATGTGACCATGGCTCATGGATAGGGGGATTCTTTTATTCTTCTCCCTCTCTATCTCTGTTAAATTCATGAGTCCTTTGGCAATTGAAAACAAATAAATTTTAAAAAAGAGGTTAAGATCTTAGACTCTGGATCCAGATGGCCTGGGTTTCAGCTAGCTTGCTCTGGGGAAGTTTCTTAATACCGTTAAGTTTCTTAACTGTGCCTGAATATCTCATTCGTAAATGGAAATATTACAATAAAAAATAGATATATAAAGTTCTCAGAACGATGACTGGTGTGCAGGCCTGCCTATATGATACTCAGCTAATGGACTGTGGTAGTATGTGGTTTGAATAAAGTTCAAGACTATACTTATTGAACTCATTGAATGCCTTGCAAGTGAAAGGAAAAGTATTATAACCCGAAGAGTGAGCTGAGAAAGAGGTGCATGGACCTCTGCAGCCTACTTTTAGTTTACAAAGCAATGGAAACTGAGTGCCAATGAGCAGGGGCAGACCTGCCATCTGTATGGGAGCAACATAGACATTTTTCCTTGCTTGGGGAGGGAATGGAAGGTTGACCATAAATAGCATCCTTAAAGAACTGTTCAGATGCAATTGACTGTTTCATTAGAATCAACCATCCATGTTCATGGAGGACAAAACCTTGGTGGGAAAGAAAGTCACCTCTTTCAAACTCCTAGTCCTTCCTTTTTTCTTTGAAGATTAAAAATTACACTTGAATGGAGAGTGAATTTCTGTGTTGTGTCACTGTTGATATGAAGTCACTATCAGTTCATTTCTAGTGACAGGCCTCTAGGTAATTTATAGGATTAGTAATAATATAGAACAGATTTTTACATTTTACAGAACAATTTACAATAAAAGTTGTCTTAGTTCATTCTTGGGAGAATAGTACAAAGACAGGTTATTCTTTTCAGCATTTTAAAGCTGAGGACACTGAAACTCGTTAACAGTAAATAATCTGCCCATGTTTCCACCACTGATAAATGGTAGAACTAGAGTTTTTTGTTTTGTTTTGTTTTTTGAGAGATTTTTGCTGGATATGTACACTCACCAGAGACAGAGACACACAGTGAGAGGGAAAGCATCCCTTCTCCTCCATTCTCCTCTCAGGATTCTGGGCATGCACACGCTCATGCTAGGTGTGAGTTTCAAGCCACCAGGTCCAGGACTCGAACCATGGTTGGCTATGTGGGAGTCCAGATCCTAACTAGTACCCTGGTGGCCCAAACTAGGACGTTAATACAAATTTCTGACTTGTGTATGGGCTGTTTAAATCTGATGTATATGTATGTGGGTTGTAAATAACTGGGTCTTAGTAGTACGCTGGTTTGATTTCCAAATCTCAATTCTTACCTGAAAGCTTAAGCAGGTGAAGGGCTAACTACCACCTTCTCTAGAATTTTAAGTTAAGTGACACTTAAATCTATCTTGTAGAATAAAGTGAATGGACCTTGGGCTGACCTTAAATTATCTTCTTTCTTACCAAGTTCCTTTTTTTTCCTTTTTTAAGGAGGAAAACTTGGAATCTACTAGGAGGGCAGCCACTTCCTTTGGGAGAGTCTTGTTAAAAAGAGTTTTAAATTGGAAAGATAGTGACTGAGGTACCAACAAGCCCAAGCCTTGACATGAATCCATACAATGAGGGAGAATAGCTTGTTTTGGGTAACCAGCTAAAATAGAAGAAAGGCTGATGTGGGACAAGTACAGAGGCTCTGCAGAGAAGTTCTGCATGTTCGAGGCATGTGCAGGGTACATTGGTGGCAGATGGTGCTCACAGGAGGCATTTAACCCAGAGAGGCAGTTCGCTTCTCAGAGAAATCGACAAGGTTACGTATGTAATTGCTAACATTTTGCGTGGAAGTTCTTATGTTTGCTTGCAAACCCTATACCCAAATGATATATTTTCTAGTTACATAATATGAACCAGAAAATGGCTTTCTTCCACTTACTTATAGAGGCAGGGTTATGCCCTAGTCAGACTGAACAGCTGTGCAATGCGACCGAAGTACTTGAAGTTTTAGGGTCTTTCTTTTCCTCTTCTATAAAATAAGAATGTTGGAAGCCCCCCTGAGCTTCCTCCCACTTAAAAATAAAATTAATATAAAATATAAAAAGTAAAATAAAGCTGTATTTTCCAATTATTTATTTTCATTTAGCAGAGGTTTTTAGTTTAGATTCTGGGGCCTCAGAGAATCCAAAACCCACTAAAATTTTTTGGAAGTTGTATGTTTGACCTCACATCTCCAAAAGTTAACTATCACCTGTCCCTATGTTTGATCATCTAAAGAGGAACTTAAGCATAAACAAGCAGAGGTAATAATTGTGGCCCTTGACTGAATGACCAGAGCCATACGGTCTTTATTTTCATGTGGGTAATGCCTTCCCCCCCATCAGTAGGGCTATTTCTGGCCTTCTCTAAGATATGGAATGTATTTTTTTAAAATCTAGCTGGGGGGTCGGCACATGGCGTTGTGGTTAAGATCTGGACCTCCCCTGAGACCAGCAGTTAGCGTAATGGCTATGTCGCTGGACTCCCACGGAGTTGACCGTGGCTCGTGTCCCAGACCCGGTGGCTTAAAACTCACGCCGGGCGCGTGTGCGTGCGTGCCCAAGATCCCGAAAGGAGAATGGAGGAAAAGGGATTGTGGCGTGGCCATCCCCCTGGGGGGTGATTTCTCACTTTCTATCTCTCTGTCTCTCTCTGTCTGTCTGGTGAGCGCACGCGCCCTATAACAAAAACCTCTCAAAAAAAAAAAAAAAAAAAGATCCTGGACCCCAACTTGGCCAACTGCAGTTAGAATCCTGGACCTGGCGCCTTGCTTCCTCATTTTCTCTCTCTCGCTCTCTCTGTCCCTCTCTGTTTAAAAAATAACAATAATAAATTAGATGAAGTAAAATCATTATTTTTAAAAATCTAGCTGTATCTTTTAGCTCTGTCTCAAAGGAAAGGCAATTCTGAATGGAATCATTGGTAGGAGTCACTGAACAGTGCTTTACTTGCTTAATAATTCCTAAGAGAGTGAGGAAGAAAAGTAGTTTCTCATAATCAACCCATATGCAAGCTTCTCAGACAGGTAAAGTAACTAACAAGATGGTTTCTCAGTAGCCACCACAGATAAAACACACGGATGAGTTGGTGTGCAGATTTCTCCCAGCCTGACTTTTAGAGAAGGGACGATGTGTTTAGTTCTAAGGAAGTAGATATGAGTCAAGGGTCAGGCAGGTTCTGCTCTTGTTTGTTTGTTTGTTTAGATCAGCACTCATTTAAATGGGAACTAATTCTTGGAAATAATATCTTAACGTCACTCTTTGGCTCACAAAGGTGTCTTCTCTAATATTTATGGCATTGTGCATAATGACCAAGTAAAAACATATCTGCTGCTTCCAAACAAATGCTTTCAGAGACATTTGTATGGTGATTTTCTGTCTTTTTAAAAATTATTTTCCAATGAGATAGAGATGTGTTAGTTCGAAAAGAGAGTTCATGAAAGAAAATATTTCTCAGAAATATTCATTTGGGGAATGAATTGACTCAAATTTTTTTTCCATAAATAGAAGCCATTACCAGCAACATCTAAGTGTGCATACTTTGTATTATTTTCCTCTACATAAATGTTTATCAAAATCATCTAGTGGTAAAATAGCCTCTTATAATCCTTTATCCTTTTTTTTTAATACAGAGGAAAAGCTTTGTTAGACTAGCTCACAGTATTTTATTTGCTTGCTTACTTTTTCCATTTGTAAGCATCTCTTCAAAATGTTGGTAGTCTTAAAAAGCTCCTAGCTCCATCTTTGTGGAAACAGCCTAACGATGACCAGACTATAAATTGATTTGTGTGTGTGTGTGTGTGTGTGTGTGTGTGTGTTTACCCCTTCTAGTTTCAGATGGAGAGCACACAAGTCCGGAGATGGTCCTCACCATTCACTTACTTCCCATTGATCAGCAGCTGCCGGTTTTCCAGGTCACTGCTCCTCTGCTTGAGGTCAGCCCAGGAGGCAGGACTTCAGTAGGTAAGAGCTGGGAGCCTGAAAGAAACAGGCTTTGAAAATGGGACCGTATTTCAGCAGCAGTCCTTCTTCAAACCTCTTGATTGTTGCCAGGAAGCAGTGACCTCCTCTTCTAGAAGTTGCAGCGTTCTCACCTATATCCTGCCTGCTGCCCATTTCCATGCAAATAGAAGCAGCATAGAGAGAAGGAAATAAACCTTTCAGAGGCCAGCGCTCAGCCATGGAATACAACACGGAATTTATTTCCCAGCCTCCAGGAGTTTGATTTGTTGCCATCACTAAAATATAAAGTAACAGAGAGCAGAGAGGAGAACAGAGGAGAGCAGGTTTCAGTGACAGCTCTTAGTTTCTATTTAGAAAGTAAAGAATAGCAAGAGAAATGACAGATCACAATAACCTTCGGAAGTTGTGAAGAGTTAGAGTTGGCCATTATTTTGTATATGATTTTATTTACTTTTTTTTTTTTTACTTTAGAAGCTTATTCTTTTACCAAAAACATTGTATTAGCTAACAGTGGATATTGTAACATTTGTTAGGTGTGCTCTACATATCCTTATCCAGTTTTCTACGTGTGGGTTTTGGCCTAAAACTAATTATTGTCAAACTTATAAAGAACTCATATGTACAAAGATGACTTTACCCTATTCCTTCTCACTTTCAGGTTGGCCATAGCAGTCATTGTTAAGCTTATTATAGCTCTTCTGTATATTCAGATAAGTAAGAAGAAACAATGAAAAGCAAAAACAGTTTCTGGAAATATTTTCTGGAAGAAAATATACCCCAGCTGGTCAGGACTGAGCTACATGTGGGCTTCTTTTATGCCATGTCTTCATTTGTATGGGGGGGGGGGAAGTGTTCTGAATTCAGAACTACCTACTTATAAATAAACTTTATCCCAATTACAGAGAGCATATGCACACACCAAAAGAAGCTAGAGAGAAAGAGGAGCATCCTTAATGGGGCCTCATGATGCCACAATCCCCTTTCCTCCCCTCCAGCTTCTCAGGATTCTGGTTGCCTGCATGTATGCCTGGTGTGTTTTCAGGCTGACCTGGAAATCCAAATCCACGGTCAGCCACGTGGCTTCCAGCCTTGCAGGGCATTTGTGTTACCATTATTACCCAACAGTGATTGGGCCATAAATGAACTTTTGGTAAAACCTACCTACAATTTGGAGATTGACTATTTTACCAGTTTCAGTTTTCAGTCTTTAGTACTTAGTTGCCATTAAACAGTGCTTCCCTTTTTATAAAGTTTGTTTATCAGGACCAGTAGATGGCAGAATGGTTATGTCACTGGACTCCCACGTAGTTGACCATGGTTTGCGTCCTAGACCCAGCAACTTAAAGCTCACACTGGGCGCATGTGCATGTGTGTCTATCTATCTCTTTCTGTCTCTCCAGTGAGCACACATACCCTATAGCAAAAATCTCTGTTAAAAAAAAAGTTTATTTTATCTATGATAAGAGAGTGAGACAGTGTCATCCTTGACAGGGTTTCATCATACTGCAGATCTTTTTCCCCAGCTCTTCAGCTCATCAGGATCTTGGGCAAAGGAGAACACTTGACTGGTTTCAGGTCAGCTAGGTTGGTGATCTAAACATGGAGTTGGCCATGTGGCTTCCAGCACTGCAGTTCAGTATGCTACCAATGGTGCCACAGAGAAGGAGATAACCATTAGATTGCCTATAACCTGGATCCTATTAATAGCTTGGCCTACAGCTTTTTCCCCCCCTAAGTTTCCAGAGGCATGTGCACTCACCATAGAGTTTCCAGAGGGCATGTGCACTCACTGGAGAGAGACAGAGAATGAGAGAGAGGGAAAGCACCTCCAATGGGATGTAGTCACACCACAATTCTTTTTCCTCCACTTCTCCATCCTTGGGATTTTAGACATGCACAAATATACCCAGTGTGTTTTTCAAGCCACAGGGGCCTGGGTTCAAACCACAGTTAGTCAAGTGGGATCTAGCTTACCCTAACCACCAGGCTTACGGAACTGACTGGGCCTCTGGCTTTAATGTATACAGAGTATATAGTTTTTAATATATTCATTCTCTCTCACCATGGTTTATTCCTTTACTGTAGTACTTCGGTTGGTAATAAGAGATACCAAGACAGCATCTGAAGAACTCGTCTTTGAGCTTCGTAAACCTCCACTGCATGGTGTGCTCCTTAAGTACACAGCTGAGTTCCAAGGGCCCATGGCCACAGGTAGGTACACACTCTGTCATGGACCTGCTTGGAGGATCTTTTTCTCTGCGGTCAGTTTTATGTGTCTCAGACCAGAAGAAACGTGTCTTTGTGGGTTAAACTATAAGGACTTTCTTTTGTGTTTAGTTCATTGGCCTAAAGCTTTGAAACTTCTTCCTCTTCCCGCTCCTACTGTGGTCCCCACCTAAAAAATTATGAAGCTGTTTCCTCAAATTGGTAGTGAAAAAAACTGATTTCTGAAACTTGGAGTAATAACATTTAAAACAACCCCATATAAAGAATCAGCTGCCTCCTTCCTGTTGGTGTTCATGGAGATGAAGTTGTCTGTCAATCTGTGTGTCTCCACATTAATTTTAGCATTGTGATTCTGGTAGTGATAACAATATGAATCTTCATTCATGGAAACAACAACAACATATTTTTGAAGTATGATCTATACAGTGTTAACACTGTGATAATGTAACTGGCTATCTAAAATAATATCTATTCAACTTTCTCTGACAATAAACATACATGCTGACTACTTAGTACAAAAAATGAATATTATCCCTTTCAAAGTAGTCATCTTGAGATGCTATATGCTTATTTCAAAGATCTGTCCTTTCTCAAGACCTTTATATAATTCCTTGTAGAAATATAGTAATACGTTCTTCTGAATATCCCTGGTGGAGCAGATGTTTGCCATCAGAGATAGATTTAATCTTTAAGAATGACAAACAGGCATTTGGTGGTCACAAAGTAGACTTTAAAAAATATACTGAGCAAAAGAAATGTCAGAATAGATTTATAGCATTCCAAGGGAACTACTTTAAGAGCATAATAGTCATTACCCATTCTTTAACTTTACATTAACTTATATTCATGTGATTAAGATCTAAGTTCTAAAGATGTTTATAAAAAGTTAGATTTACTATCTTTTTTTTAGATGTGTTATCTTTTTAAAGGCATAATACTAATTATTAAAGCAAATAATCAATTAAAAAAATACAGTTGAGGGGCCACCAAGGTGTTGGACTCCCACATGACTGACTAAAGTTCAAGTCCCAGACCTGGCAGCTTGAAAATCATGCCTAGTGTATGTGTGTGTGTGTGTGTGTGTCCAAAATCCCACGAAGAGACTGGAGAAGAGACTGCAGCATGGCCATCTACCCTGGGGGGTGATTTCTTACTTTCCCTCTCACTGTCTCTCTCTGGCTAGTACACATGCCCTATGGCAAAAACCTTTAAAAAAAGAAAGAAAGAAAGAAAAGAAAAAAGAGTAGATAGAATATAACATCCAAGAAGACTAGTGCTTGTGCTTCTACTATGTTCTGTGGAGTCAGGAAAACCCGTGGTATTAAAAGACATTTATCATATAAAGGATTCCATTACCAAAGATGTTGCAAAACCTAGTATTTACACAGTAAAGATTATAAAATTATAATAAATCAATTTTATTTAATCCCATTTTTTCTAAATTTGTGTCAACTTTAATCTTTTTTCAAACAATAGCTATCTAATCTAACATCTATTCATACTCTACACAATTTGGGTTTCTAACTTCAAGTATATTTTTCAATTTTTTAAAAAAACTTTATATTCTCAGGACAAGCAGATAGCGTAATGGTTATGTCATTGGACTCCCATGTAGTCGACCGCAGTTCAAGTCCCAGACCCAGTGGCTTAAAATCATGCTGGACACATGTGCATGCATGCCCAAGATCCCAAGAGGAAAATGGAGAAGGGATTGTGGCATGGCCATCCCCTCCAGGGGGTGATTTCTCGCTTTCTGTCTCTCTTTCTGGCCAGCGCATGTGCCCTATAGCAACAACGTTTTCAATTAATTCAGCATAATTTAGTTTCTTAAGTTTTACAAAAATATTTTGTTATCAAGATTAGATTTCAGAAATCTAACATAAAGAACAGAGACTTTTTTTTCCCTCCTAGAACCAGGAGTGATGAATGGATCTTATAGAGGCATATTTTAAGTCAATATAATTTAAAACTTTAAAAACAACACTACGTAGGGCTATCTCCAGTAAAATTAGTTACCTTGTGAATCAGTGAGCTTCCTGCCTAGTAAAGTATTGAAAGACAGGCTACACCACCCATTTTATAAAAAGGTATTATAAAGGGAATCTTAAGTTGGGTGGATGGCTGGATTAGTTAGTTTATACCTTCAGTATTTATGATATGTACACTAAAACTTGAGAAAAAAGGTAATATATACATGAAAAGCATAATTCCCAGAAGTAATTGGTCTTGCCATTTGTTTTATTCTTGGAAGGTGATACTTTCACTTATAAGGATATTGAAGAAAATGCTCTGCATTACATACACGACGGCTCCCCTGCCCAGGAAGACAGCATGGAGATCTCGGTCACAGACGGCATCACCACGACGACATCAGAAGTGAGAGTAGAAGTGTCACTATCAGAGGACCAGAGGCCTCGATTGGCTGCTGGCTCCTCTTTGAGCATCACAGTTGCTAGTAAAAGTTCAGCTGTGATCACTCGGTCACATCTTGCTTACATCGTAAGTCCTTCTTGTTATCCACTGCACCTTTTTGTCTGGACTGATAGAAGGCCTTGCTAAGGCTGAATATTTGGGGCAGGAGGTATACGACTTGGTAGAGATCTTTTTCATCTCAATTTCTCCATAGTTCTACTCTTAGAATTAGTTACACTGTTTATCTGGGCTTCTCCCAAGTTTTATAAGCAGACACGTGAATGAGTAAAACTTGGATGAAAACATAATGCATATGTGTAGGGATGGTGATTGCCAACAGGAAACAGTGTCAATGTCAGAAAAGCCCAAATTCTATTGTTTAAGCTCCATCCATTATATTTCTAATGGGAATTTTGGGAAAAGAAAATTCAATTGACTGATGGGTAACAGGGTCATGGCCCCCTGACTGAAAGTTCACTTTTCATCTACATGACTTAGGTCCTCTTCAGACAGAATGCTCACACAGATCCTTTGCTCACACAATTCTGATGGGTTTCCAAGCCAAGATGGCTGCCTTACCCTGCATCTCATACCCCAACAGAAGCAGTGTGGTCAGGAGATCCAGGGTGAACCCAAGACTCTGGGGGTTTTCCCTCCCTCTGATCTCAACTTGATAAGTAATTAATTAAACACATCTTCTTTTTTTGATTCTATCTCTAGAGCTAAGGATAATAAGGATAATTCATTTTATTTTACAGTTGTGTATGTCATAAACAGATATGTACTCTTTATGTCAACACTATAATGAGTGGCTTTACAATGCCTTGAAAGGAAGCATGATTATCTGAACAGTAATCATTTGTAGTATTGAAATTTTCCTTTACTAATCTTAAAATTCTAACCAATGACCTAGACTTTTTTTTTTAATACTAAATAGTTTTAATTCTTTTTGGGGTACAAGAATCTTGCTATACAATCTGGTCCTGGATAGTATCATGTTAGATAAAGCATTGGCTTGGGAACAATTGTGTTTGCACAGATTTTCCCTTAAATGGTCTTCTCTTAAATTATAGGAAGCCACATTCCACTTTGAGTCTTCTCATAAGTCTACTATAGTTTCAAAGAAACGTTGATTTTCTTTAGTTTTGTTTTTAATTGACAGGTGATTTTTACCATAAGTTATGGTCTTTCTTTTGAATCTTATAAAACTCATGAATTCATAAAAATGTATGAATTCAAGTTTAATCAATAGATCACCAAGGCTTGAAAAATGTTTGACAGACCAAAATAGTATTCCAAGAGCAGTTCCTGTCCATTAACTGAATATTATAAGCTGCATATCAAAATGCACGCTCATTGGCAACTGAACATGTCTTTTCAAAAATTGATTGGTTGTAGGGAACCAGCAGTTAGTGTAATGGCTATGTCGCTGAACTCCCACGTTGTCGACCACGGTTCGCATCCTGGACCTGGTGGCTTAAAACTCACTCCGGGCGCATGTGCGTGCGTGCCCAAGATCCCGAGAGGAGAATGGAGGAGAAGGGATTGTGGCGTGACCATCCCCCCAGGGGGTGATTTCTCGCTTTCTGTCTCTAGGTCTCTCTGTGTCTGTCTGGCGAGTGCATGTTCCCTATAGCGAAAACCTCTCTCCCCCCCACCAAAAAAAATTGATTGGTTGTGGATTTACCTGCCAGAGCATAAAGACTCTAAAAGAACTATTGTATCCTTCTGAAAACATAGTATACATTTAAAAGACTTAGCTAGGTTGTATACTTATTCTCTCTGAAAAATCTTATATTTAGTGTCATAGAAATTTTTTTCCACCTAGTCATAGTTAGAAAGTTTTCAGTGAAAATTCAGAAAGGTCAGAGAAGCTCTCTGAAATCCTCATAGGTGGGCCAAGTATAAAGAAATAGTAGCTAAGTGAAGCAAGCCAGAAAATGAAAGAGAGGCATTGTATGTCCCCACACAATATATACCAAATGTCTGCACTCTATGGAAGAACTGAAATATTGGACAATATAAAGGCATGGAAAGCAACTGTGAATACCAGAGACAGTATGGGAGGAGGGTGGGAAATGGCAGAAGGTAAGAGGGAGGGAATCGAGGAGAAAAAAAGGAAAGGAAGTCAAACAGTTAAACACAAAATGGAAAATTATCTGTTGAAGATAATAATTATGGTAATATCTTTGATTGGACCAATATTCAGTATATTTGGGATGGTAAAATTTATTTTGTATGCTGTAATGATATATAGTGAATGAATATAAAAAGAAAAAAGAGAAATAAGACAGGCAAGTATGTTCTCAGAGTCTCATTAACTGGGAGAGTGTGTTAAGGTGTTGGACGACATAAAAGGCAAAAATGCAATTCTGTGTTATTTGCTTAACAGTACTTTTATATGCACTGTTTGCTACACACGGCAAAATCTAAACAAGTAGATGAGGAATAGAATGGATGATGGAGTTAGTATGGATACATTTCAGTCCACACTTTCCACTTACTAGCACAGTGACCCTTGGCAAGTTATTTAAATCTCTCAAGTCCTTGGTTTTCTCATCTGTAAAATGGGGAGAATGATATAAGATTGTTCTTTAAAAGTTAATAGCATTTCTAAGTACTAACCAAAAGTAAATATTTTCAAAATAGGATGTTATTTATAATAACATTACATATCTTTATCACGCATAGAGAGAATTTATACTATTACTGACTACATTGAAAATCCAAAAGAATCTCTTGACAAAGTACTAGAAATAGAAGGAGAATTTTCCATGGGTCCAGATGTAAGATCAACAGCAATAGAATTGCTACATATAAGCAAACTACTAGGTAGTAGATGTTATTAAAATGATGATCCCATTTACAATAGCATTGTAAAAAATCTTGTCCTTTGAGCTAAATCTGACAAAAGACAGACAGTACTCCTACAGAGAAAATGATAACATTTAATTGATAGACATTTAAAAAAACACTAAGTAGATGAAAAGATACGCCATAGTCATGAATCAGAGCATTTAGTATCAAAAGGATGTTAAATTCACCTCGAAGTGATCTTTCAGTTCAGTTTAGTTCCAATAAAAATCCCAATGGAATTTTTATGGATCTTGATACACAGATTCTAAAATATATAAGGAAGAACAAAGGGCCAAAATTCTGAAAAAAAAAAAAGGGTAGGGGGACAGGAGGACATTCCCCACCAGAATATATAATAAATATACATTATTTAAAACAGTATGCATAGGAGAGCCAGCAGGTGTTGTAGAGGTTAAGGTGGCTGTATTCCCACATGGCAGAATGCAGTTAAAGTCCCAGACACAGTGGCTTGAAAATCGTGCGTGTGTGTGTGTGTGTGTGTGTGTGTGTGCCCAAAATCTTGCGAGAAGAATGGAAGAGAAAAAATTGTGGTATGGTCATCTCCTCATGGGGATATTTCCCTCTTTCTCTCTCTCTGTCCCTCTCCAGCAAACACATACACCCTTTAGCAAAAACAAAACAGAATTTAGAGAAGTATGCATAGAAATATGTTAGAAACAGACAATACATGGAAACTCCTAATACAAAACAAAGATAGTAAGCCATTCAGTAGAAACAGGAGGAGCTCTAAAACACGATCTGCACAAAATATTTTTATGACATTTTGTACATAACTGTAATTTATCTGTTTTGAGTCTCTTTATTATTCCACTGAGTATACATACCACAAATTATCTGTTATCTGTTGATGGGCATTTCACTCGTTTCAGTATTTTTTTTTTCATTTGTATACGTAATAGTGCAGTGTATGTGAAATGTAATGTGTAAAAACAGTACTGATAAGAGCATTCTTACACATGCCCTTCGGTGTACATGTGAAAATTTCTCCTGGGTAGAAATATAGAGTGGAATGGGTAGGGTGCACGAATATTCACCCTTATAAAATAATTCCAATTATTTTTTTCTCATGTGGCTAACCCAGTTTACACTCTCACTAGCAAACAACCTCCTATAAATCTATATCCTCTCACATACTTGGTATAAATGGTGTATAGTATTTTTTAAAAGAATTATTTATTTAAGTTTATGTGTCATTGATTATTATTGTTAGTTAATTTGCTATAAGCCACATGTGCTCACAAGACAGAGAGAGAGAGAGAGAGAGAGGGAAAATGAGAAAGCAAGCTGCCAGGTCTGGGAGTTGAACCGTGGTCAACCATACGGGAGTCCAGTGCCTTAACCCCCATACTACCTGCAGACCCCATAAATGATATATCATCTTAATATGTTTTTCCTGGTCACTAATAAAGGTGAATGTCTTTTCATATGTCAATGAACAGATGAATTATAGCTGCATACAACAATACGGTTAGATCTTAACAGTCTACTATTAAGAAAGAAAGAAAAATAAATCCTACAAAAGTAGACTTACACCATTTTTATAACTTAAAAAAAAAAGTATATCTTGTAGTGATGTATCAAACTATGCTAAGAAATCAAGGCCCAGTCACAGTGTACAGGTACTAGAGTTACTCTGCGTGCTGGAGGTACATGGAAGACTGTGTTTCAAATCCTAGGTCCAACTGAAACGTACCAGGTGTGTGTACACAGTCCCTGTCACAGCTGGCCGGAAGGCAGTTGGAGAGATTGCAATATGATAAGACCCTGTAAAGGGTGCTTGTTTCTCTTTTTTTCTCTGTCTCTCTCAAGACATAAAATAAATCAATTTTAAGAAAAAAATAGAAAAAAAGTAAAGGAAATAAGAAACAAGATTTAGGGTAACAGGAGTCCTGAAGATAGGAGGAAGAAGAAGCATATAGGCAAATATTGTCAAAGTTCTAGTCCTCATGTTGAATGGTGAGTTAGTTCATGGATGTATAAATAAGAAAACAAAAATGAAAACATTGAAGTAATACAAAAAGGGTAACAAGTTCTTTGAGCAGAAAAGTTACATAAGAACAAAGTCTATAATCTTACACATCTGTGTGTACCCACGATATCTTAGATAATCCCAAAATAGTGATTTTCTTTAAATTATGCCAATGTATTTAAAAAAAAATTATATATATATATATATATAGTCGCTGAACTCCCACGTTGTCGACCACGGT